ACCCTATTCAACAAACAATACTGGGATAATGGACAAGCCACAGGTAGAAGAATGAAACTGGATTCTCATCTCTCACATTATATGAAAATCAACTCAAGATGGATCAAAGTCTTAAATCTTAGACCTGAAACCTAAAAATTCTGGAAGATAACATCATAAAAACTCTTCTGAACGTTGGCTTAGGCAAAGTGTTCATGACCAAGAACCCAAAAGCAAATGCAACAAAAACAAATAGATGGAACGTAATTAAATCAAAAAGCTTCTGCACAGCAAAAGAAATAATCGGCGAAGTAAACAGACAACCCACAGAGTGGGAGAAAATATTCACAAACTGTGCATCCCACAAAGGACTAATATCCAGAATCTACAAGAAACCCAAACAAATCAGCAAGAAAAAAACAAATAATCCCATCAAAAAAATGGGCAAAGGACATGTATAGACAATTCTCAAAAGAAGATATACAAATGGCCAATAAACATATGGAAAAAATCCTCCACATCACTAATTATCAGGGAAATGCAAATCGAAACCACAATGAGATACCACCTTATTCCTACAAAAATAACCATAATTTTAAAATTAAAAAAAAGTAGGTCCGGGTGTTGTGGGTGGCTCACGCCTGTAATCTGAGCACTTTGGGAGGCTGAGGTGGGTGGATCACCTGAGGTCAGGAGTTTAAGACCAGCCTGGCCAACATGGTGAAACCCTGTCTCTAAAAAATACAAAAAAATTAGCTGGGTGTAGTGGCAGGCGCCTGTAATCTCAGCTACTCGGGGGGCTGAGGCAGGAGAATCACTTGAACCCAGGAGGAGGAGGTTGCGATGAGCCGAGATCACAACACTGCACTCTAGCCTGGGCAACAAGAGTGAAACTTCGTCTCAAAAAAAAAAAAAAGAAAAAGTTGGAGTGGATGTGGTGAAAAGGGAACACTTTTATGCTGTTGGTGGGAATGTAAACTAGTACAACCACCATGGAAAACAGTCTGAAGATTCCTTAAAGAACTAAAAGTAGAATTACCGTTTGATCCAACAATCCCACTACTGGGTATCTACCCAGAGGAAAAGAAGTCACTATATGAAAAAGACGCTTGTTAAGGTGACAGGTGCACCAAAATCTCAAAAATTACTACTAAAAAATTTATTCTTGTAGCAAAAAAACAACCTATTCCCCAAAACTATTGAAAAAAGAAGTAACTAAAACATAGCCCTAATGAGGGGCCACAGGCTTCAAAGCAAGGTCATGGCAGTAAGAAGCTTCAAACGCCTGCTGTGGTCAGACCCCGGTGAAAGAGGGAAGCAATGGCCACCAGGCAGGAGGTCCTCATTCAATCCTTGCTGAGGAGGAAATCTTAGAAGCCAGTGTTCTAGGGCAGGGGCTGGCACAGACTGCCCAGAAAAGAACTTCATCTTGTCGTCTTTCTACTTATTGTTTTAATTCGTATTTATGGATTCAACCTCTGAACTTCTCCACTGTGCCCAGTAAGGAACTGGCAGGGTGGAGTAGAAACAAGGGTCTGATGGTCACCAGACTTAGCTCCTCAAATTGGGATTTTGGGTGGTGGCCAGGGACCCACAGAGCAACCCTCGATTTCCCAGCAGGGGTCTGGGAGTGATAGAGTCGCATTCCAGAACTTTCCTGGAGATGGACCAGGTTGGGCTGCCCCTGAAACTGGTAAGGCAGGGCGGTGAAGTGACTCCCAGGCACGAGCTGAAATGAACCCCAGCACCTGCCCTGGGAGTCAGTGGCTGACAGGACTTTAAGCTTCACAGCCCGGACCCCCGTCCTCAGGAACTTTGGGTAGGGGCAGGGCAGACAAAATTGGCAAACTCTATGAGAGATGCCAGGATGGTTCCCAGTCTGACCTCTCCTTCTTCCAGGGTGTAGCAGACATCTGAGGCCCTCCTGCGATCACAGCGGCAGCTGCAGGGCAGCTCAGCACTGGCCCTCAGCATCCCACCTCTAGAACCATAGGTCTCCCGCTTTGCCTTCTCAGGGCTGTTTTTAAAAGCCACAGAGTCAGCCGGGGGATGGTGGGGGCTGCAGCCAGGAAGTGCAGGGGAGTTAATTCCCCAGAGTGGGACCCACAGATAAATGCCCCAGCTTCCCTCTCACTCTGGGAGGTTTCTAAGGTTCTTGCTGAGCCGGGCCCCATCTTCTGAAGCAAAGACCTTGATGCCACTCCCCGCTCCCTTCCTCCTGCCCACTGGGGTCACTTCCGAAATAAACTACGTGGAAAGTCCTTTGCTCCAGGTTCTGCTTCGAGGGAGACCCAACTGAGACACGTAGCAATAGAAGTTTGAGCTGGGCACATGACTGCCTCTGACAAAGGCTCTATCACCCAGTTGTGTGCTTTAGCCATGGGTAAGTTTTGGCCAATGGGATGTGAAAAGAGGTGACTGTGCAACCTCCAAATCACCCGGTTGCTGGGAAGGAGAGCGCCGTCCTCCCCTCGGCCTCTTCCCGCAGCCTGGAGAGCCCCAGCAGTGCGGAACCCGGCCTCGACCTCCGGATGTGCACAGGCTCGTGCCGCCTCCTCCTGCGTTCAACCAACGGCGGCCTCTGTGATCAGTAGAATATGGCAGAAGTGACAACGTATGGCTCCCACGGATAGTCGTAAAAGGTACTCTACCTTCCCTCTCCGTCCGTTGGGTCCCTCACTCTGGAGACCCAGCTACCATGACACAAGGACACTCAAGTAGCACTGTGGAAAGGTCTAGGTGAGCAGGAACCAAGGCCTCCTGCCCATAGCCATGTGGGAGGGAAGATGGCTGGAAATGGATCCTACGCAAACAAACCTTTAGCTGACTGCAGCCCGCGCTGACACCTGACCGCAGGTGTCAGGTGTCAAGCCCAAACCGTCCAACCAAGTTTCTTACAAATTCCTGATCCACAGAAACGTCAGACATAATAAATGATCTATTTAAGCCCCTAAGATTTAGGTTAATTTGTCATCTAACACTAAATAACTGCTGTGGATTGAATTGTGGCTCTTCCATCGAAAATTTACCTGTTGAAGTCTAACTCTTAGTACCTCAAAATGTAGCATTATTTGAAGTAAACGTCTTTACAGGGGTAATCCAGTTAAAATAAACTTACTAGGGTGGGCCCTAAACCAATATGACAGATGTCGTCATACAAAGGGAAATCTGGACACCAGCCGCAGACGGAGAACGCCATGTGAAGATGAAGGCAGAGCGCCAAACACTGCCGGCAACGACCAGAAGCTGGAGGAGAGGCAGGGATCCTCACATCCTTAGAAACCCACGTACTGACACCCTGTCCTCGGCCTTCTGGCCCCAGAACTGCAAGCAAATGAGTTTCTGCTGTTGTTTAAGCCACAAGCTTACGGAACGTGGCTGTGACAGCCAGAACAAACCAGCACAACAACTGATACAACAACGTCCAGGCGACAGTGGAGCAGAAAGACCGAAGCGCTCTGGGCCTTTCCCGTCACAGCAAGAGCTCCACACCAACGCCGGCTTCTCTGTGAAAGAGACATCCATCTCTGTCTTATTCAAGCCACTGCTCTTCCCATCTCTAGCTCACACCGCTGAAGCTCTATCCTCACAAATACAGCCTAAGACTTCCTCTCGACATGTGCTCTCCTGACAGATTTCACATGGAAATGAATCCCCAGAATAAAGAAGTAAATGGGGATCAAGGCTGCCATCAAGACTGTGAAGGCTGTGTTCCTTCCGCACAGACACCCGGCGTTTCTTCCAGATGGAAAGCAGGTGGGGCGGGGTGGAAGAGGATGCAGGAAGCCCTCTCAGTGAAGGAGCAGCACATCCTGGCACGGCTAACGGGGCCTGGGGGCCACGCTGGCTCTACTCGCTCTATGGAGACTCAGCAGAACATCTCTCTAAAGAAAAAGAAAGGGCACCAGGTCCAGAAGAGACTGCCCCAGCAGGAGCACAGGCCCACACAAAGATTCAAAAGAAGTGCCTCTTTCTGTCCTAGGCCAAAACAAGCCGCAGGTGCACCCACTCCTCCCCAAGGTGGCCTCTTTCCCTTTGCTGCCCCTGAACAGCTTGAGGACGGGGGGCTGGAGCAGGGCCTTGCAGCATTCGAATCATTTCTGTTTCACTTGACATAAAGCCAGCATGTACTGTTCTCAGCAAAGAGGAGATTTAGATGTCAGGAACGGGAAAGTTCACAGGGCTTCAGGTGCAACTGATTCAGGAACTCAAACTATGTCATCAGAAATCTGTCTCTATCGCGCAGATCTGATTTCCTTGTGTTTGCTCAAATCTCAGGCAGGTAAATGTGTCACAGCAGCAGCAAGCTTGCGTTTTCGCAGCAGAAAAGCAAGCTTCTTTCCCAAACTTCCAGCAAAAGCCCCAGGGCTGATGCTCACTGGCCCAGTTTGGGGCGTGTGACCATCGGCCAGGCCTGCATCAAGTGCTCACCACTGGAGCCAGAGCAGAGGAGGAGTCCCACCCAACCACAGAACCACGTGGTCAAGAGCAAGGGAGCTGTGGCTTCCACCCATCAGAAGGGCACGGATGGTGGATGAACTCTGTGTGGTGTGTCTTCACACTGACATCAGGAGGGTAAGGGCTCACTGCAACCTTCGCCTCCCGGGTTCAAGTGATTCTCCTGCCTCAGCCTCCCAAGTAGCTGGGACTACAGGCACGTGCCACCACGTCTGGCTAATTTTTGTATTTTTACTAGAGATGGGGTTTCAGCATGTTAGCCAGGATGGTCTCGATCTCTTGACCTCATGAGAGAGACGCCCAGCCAGACGTTGCTTTATTACGCACAGTTCTGTACTTTCTTACTGCTCTGCATGGCCCTCGGCTGGTGCCCAGTTCCCCTCAAATGTGGTCTTAGCTCCGGCAAGCCTTCTGTCTTCCACCTTCTCTCCACTCTCCCGCTGTGGGTTGCGCACACACACACACACACACACACACACACACACACACACACACAGTCTTCCACCACCAGTCCCAGACGCCTCCCCCTCCTCCATTCCCTTCAGAGCACAGTTCCCACAAGCCCTTCCTCCGTCTGCACCACCCGGAGAGGCTAAGCTCTGCCCACAGCCACCACTCACGCCCTGCCTCGTTCCTGCAGGAGATTCTGCTCTCCCCAATTAGCCTGGGAGCTCCCGGGGCAGGAGTTCAGCCTCCTCCTTGCTCCCTCCCCACCGCCAGTCCTCCCCCATGCAAGACAGAGGACAGACAGGCCTACCCCTGAAGAAGGGGATACATAATCTGAAAGTGAGGGTCACCACAAAGCAAAAGAAGCCAACGGCCAATTCAGGGTGGCTTCCCAGAGTGGCAGCAGGCGTCAAGGTTCACATGAGCTGCAGCAGAGCCGCTGACGCTGTCAGGGTCCCTGTCCTCGTCCCTCTGGGACCCATCTCAGGCAAGAAGAGGCCTCGGGCAGGCACAGCTGGCCAGTGACTCAGGCCTGGGCACCATCCAGAATAGGAGGAAGTGAGAGACGCCTGCGTAGCTGAGGCTGCTTTTACCCAGACCTGTGCAAACAGAGGCATGAGCTGGTCTGGCCAGCTCCTCCCCTTCCCCTCCCCTGGCACCTGGCCTGGAAGTCCCTTACCAAGTAGCCAGTGTACACTGGGTTGGGAGCCAGAGGGAAGGGATGGGTGGGCAGAGAAACGGCAGACGTAAGAACTGCTTCCAGGTACCCTAGACACACAACGCCTCGGAAGGCGACAAGTGCTCTGGAAAAGAGTGGGCAGAGTAAAGAGGTTCAGGAGTTGTGGGAAGGAAGCAGCAGTGTGAGGCGGGGACTGGCACTCCGGAGAGGGGTGGGGGGAGCGGGCAGAGGGAGCCGCCGCTACAGACCCAAAAGCAAGAAGGGTCTAGAAATAGATTTTCAAAATAGCAGGGAGGCTGGTCTGGTCTGGCTTCAGGGAGAGCAAAGCACAAGAAGAGAGGTGAAGGGACGCGATGGGGGTGTCATGCAGGGCGTGGTACGCAGTCAGAAGGAGCTGCAGGGTCTCCCTGATGTGGTACAATGTGTTCCCCGGTGAAGGGACGCGATGGGGTGTCATGCAGGGCGTGGTACGCAGTCAGAAGGAGCTGCAGCGTCTCCCTGATGTGGTAAAATGTTTCCTGATAGTCAGTCTGAGAACGTGCAGTAAACAACCCCACAGGGACACAGGCAGGACACTGACAGCAGGATGCCCGTGAGCGGAACCCACAACCCGGCGCTTCCAAAGACAGCCTGTGAGGGGGAGAGGCACAGGCAGAGAGCTGAGGGGCGTCTCCACATGTGTGAATCGAATTTCAGCAAACAACTGGTAAAAATAAATAATCAGTCAATCAAAGCACTTACAAGGCAAGGAATGAAAATTAAATAATGATTGGATATTTAATGCTATTAGGAGTTCTGGTATTTCTTAGGTGTGAAATGGTGTTGTGTGTAATGGTCTGTGGTTATTTTTAGAGTCCTTATCCTTTAGAGGTACACACTGAAATATTTACAGGTGACGTAATAGATTCGTGATTGGATTGGAAACGATCGTGGTTGAGGTAGAGGCACAGAGGAAACAGATTAAGTGGTGGGCACGTGGAGGATCATTATATTACTTTATCCACTTCATGTATTTTGAAGCTTTCTATCATCTTTCTTTCTTTTTGGGGAGGGGGCATGGAGTCTTCCTCTGTCCCCCAGGCCCCAGGCTGGAGTGCAGTGGCACAATCTCAGCTCACTGGAACCTCCACCTCCTGAGTTCAAGTGATTCTCCTGCCTCAGCCTCCCGAGTAGCTGGGACTACAGGCATGTACCACCATGCCTGGCTAATTTTTGTATTTTTTGTAGAGATGGGGGTTCACCATGTGGGCCAGGCTGGTCTCGAACTCCTGATCTCAAGCAATCCACTGGCCTTGGCCTCCCAAAGTGCTGGGATTACAAATGTCAGCTACCGGGCCCAGCCTGAAGTTCTTCTTAACAAACAAGGCTAGTACTCAATCCACATGCTGAGACTGGAGAGTGGGTGCCAGAGATTCTGAGGAAGCAGTTGTGGTGAGCAGGTGAGGGATGAGCTAAAGAGGACTTGAGACTGGAAGCAAAGGGTGGGAGAGGTCAGGGGTGCGCTTGCAGGAAAAGACCCCTTGCTCCTCTGGCTCCAGCATATGGCTCCCTCTTCCCTGCCCTTCCCCTCCTCCCCTCATTTTCTCTCCTCTCCCAACTCTCCGTCCTCTGCCCACCCTCCTCCCCCTCCCCGCCTTCCTCACCCCTCCTCCCCCTCCCCGC